AGGCCTAGGCCTAGGCCTGGATGCGCTGCATAGGTGACTGTCCAGCTCCAAAGAGGTAGTGTGGGAGAGTGCTACCCTCAAAGTGTCGTGCAAGAGCGTGATCGAGTGCTGTCCATCGCAAAGCCGCCGTCACCTGCCTTTGTTACATGTGGGGCTGCACCGGGGTATCGGACCCTTCAATATTTTTGTGCGACAACCCCAGCGCGGCTCTTGTAACTCACATGGGAAATGCAACTGCACAGTGAGGCTTGCGCCATCGACCGTGGAAGCGATGGTCGGGCACCCTTACAAGATCTTGCAAACACAGCTGCCGTCTTTGGTTCTTAGGCTGCTGCCGCCGCGAACTCCAGTGAAAGCCGCAATCGCAGAGTTTGACGTGCATGTTATCGCAGCATCTGTGTTCATCGCTGTGAGCCGGACTCCCGAAAACGCTCAGAAATGCCACAAACAAGGCATGGCTAAGGAGGAACATCTGGTCGGATTTGCAGGTCATTTTCCACTGGGGATTTGTCCTTCATCCCTCACCGATCCTGATGCACAACTTCTTATGATGTCCTCTTTGTTAGCTCCACCGCTTTCGCGCAGTGCCTGCCAATTGAAGCTCAGGGCCGCGGCCTGCCTTAGTCGAGGTCCCCCAGACCAAGCAGGCACTACGACTACGCAGTCCAGGATAGCAGCCATTTCTCGATTCTGTATCCGTTTGGAGGCATGTGAAGGCTGCTCCCAGGCAGGGTCTCATGCTGAATCGACGGCGTGCTCCGATGTTTTTGGTGCTCTTCCTTGCCTTTGCGAGGTCTCAGATGACGAGCTGGACATGCTGGATGCGGTGGAGGACCTTGCAACCGATGGTGACCACATAGGAAGATTTCCAAAGCAGGGAGGCTCCGTCTCGGGCACATTTGGAGGCAACTTTCCGCACGGACACAGCCCTCCCTTTGAGGAGCGGGAGCAGGACGAGATGGCCGCCTTGGCCTCCCAGGCAGGGCTCTCATCTTGGCTTTTACAGTTGTGCCATTCTCGAAGGGGCTCAAAGCCTCTAAGCCTAAGCCTAAGCAGAAAGAACTTCCAGTTCCAGAAGGTGGTGTGGCTCGGCGCTGTCAGTAGGATCCCCGAAGGCAAAGCTCTCCTTGCTGCAGACGGGTCTCGAGCACCAGCACGGGCCGATGAAGGCTCAGGCGCGGCAACAATATACCGTAAGCCCAAGGCTCAAGACTCCAAACTTGGCTCTGTCTACACTCCGGCTGCGGACACCTTGCGTGATGTGCGCAGAGGGTACTTGTCTCAGAATATCAAGGAAAAGTCATATCGAAGCTCGGGCTCAAGACAGTTCCACATTAGACATGAACCCGTGAATCGCGACAGCTGATTTTTCAAGGTGAGAGATGGGAGTACTCGGAGGTGAAGAACTCCAGCCTGGACCGAATGTCCTTTTACTTGCAGCAACCCGAACCTGTCCGCGGTGGGTCCGAGCACTTAGTGAAGATGTGCGTGGGAGAGATCGACAAGAGCCAACAGGCTACCCTGCTCCACGCTGCATCGAGAGGCAATACCACAATGGTAAGGTTTTGCTGAATCTGGGATTTCCCCGATGATGTCAACGAGACCGCTATCTTCTATGCAAGTAGACATGGACAGCACGAAAGCACAAGCATGCTCGTCGACTGCGGCGCCATGCTATCCGAGTGCCAGCTGGAGATGCTCAACACCACTCGAAAGCGGAAGGCATCTGAATTCCCCGACCTGTCACGCCTGAGTGCCTCTGCTCTTTTGTGAACCAATGGGACTCGGACCTAGATAAGGAGGAAAGGCCAGTCATTCAGAATATTTCTTGCAAAGAACGAAGAAAGCGCCTACGCCGATTGCCAATCCGCACGCAGCACATCCCTAGTGCAGCGGCTTAAGCTGGAGGGCGCCTCCAAGTTGGTGAATGTTCCGGTGGATTTAGGAAAGGACAGTCTTGGAGCCATTGAAACCTGGCCAGCAGAAAATGTTCATCTCAGTTCGCAGGGTACGGTACGTCTTTGCCCATGTTGAAATGGACGAACTGACCATTGGCCACTGTGGAACTGGAAGTTTGCATTTGTGTGACTTATGTATTCGGCGACTGAGGAGAGGCTTGGGTGGACTGTTATTTGAAGCTGCAGGAATGAATGCAGGCGGCGATCCAATGCTACTCATGATCGACCAACAGCAAGGAGTTGGCCAAATTTCTGGGTCTCCAGTTTGGCCAACTCCTTGTGGGCCTGTTGGTCGCTCATGACTTTGCGGCGCCACTCGGTGATGGCCCCCTTCTCCGTCACTTCCTCATGGATGATCTTGATCACCA